TCGACTTATTCAAGAATGAACGATTTAAATATTTACAGCATTTATTTACGTTATTCAAAAACTGGGAACGTCGCCATGGCTGTTCAAAGACAAACAAGGGCGGTTAAAACCCATTACAATTGTTAATTTCAAAGTAATTAATGCAGTATTTTAAAATAATATCTTTTTGGTTTGGGCATATGCTTCTTGTAGCTGAACGCGCATGCGCCAGTAGTGTTAAAGCAAAAAACATCCCTTCGAATTTTAAAGATTATATAACATTAACTAAAATTGAGCCTACTACAGGTAGTTGTAATGTATTTTTTTTCACATAGAGAAACACTTTTTTCAATGAAACATTGAATTTTCATCAATCCAGTACTGAGTGATATGAACATGAATGTCTACCTTGGTATCCACACCGCAGTACGAATTATTGCTACAGTAAAAATGAAAATGCATGTTGTTACGTTTAAAGTAGGTTTCATAAACAGAATATTTGCATTGCATATTGCGCATGGGCGAGATAATGGGATGGGCTTTTCATCCATTAATAAAATGGATTATGGTATAATGCATATTTCGAGGCTATATGTATTTTTTATGCACACGTATAAAGCGTATCCTAATCAGTTGATTATTGTGTAACTCCACGTCAGTGCCATAAAAAGACCGCAATTCAAATTTTTATGGAAACTGTCTGGTGTATGTGTGTGTGTGTTGGGGGGAGGGGGGGGGGGCGTCAGCTTCACATTATCGGTCTGTGATTCGTAAAAAACGGACCTTCTCTTCAAATAATCCTGGATCTGCACGTGCGTGTGTGTAAGTGTGTGTGTGTGTGTGTGTGTGTGTGTGTGAGAGAGAGAGAGAGAGGGATGTTTATGTGTATACATGTATGAGAACGTGCGCAAGAGGGAGTGTGTGTGTGTGTGTGTGTGAGATAGTTATACATACTGTATATGCTTATACCTGTACAACATAGAGAAAGAGAGGGAGAGAAGTGTGTATGCGTGCCTGTGTGTGAGATAGAAATAAAGGGGGGGGGGAGCGAACGAAGCAGGCGATGCAAATTCAATTAATAATTTCAAAGTAAAAAATGCAGTATTTAAAAAGATATGAAACTTTTTATGAAAGATTGAATTTTCTCCAATTCCTTGCACGCTATAGTGAACATAAATGTCTACCACGGTATTTCCTAACTGCAGTAGAAATGAATGATACGATAAAAATGAAAATGCGTGTTGTAACATTAAAGGCTGCTACAGACTTCATAAACTAAATATGAACTTTTTTATTGCATATTGAATATTGGCGTGACAATAGGATGTGTTTTTCATCCATTAATATTATTTATTATGGTATAATACAGGTTTTGGACGCTAAATGCATTTTTATGCACATGTATTAAGTTTTTCATAATCGGTTGATTATTTTATAAATCAACGTCACCGCCTTTAAAAGAAGACCGGTATTTGAATTCATATGGGAACTAGCTATGTGTACACGTACACGCACACCACCTCCTTAAGCCTCGGTCACAAACGGACGCACGAATTTCAGGATCGTTCGTCCCCTGCGATTTTTGGGTGTTGCGGAGGCCGTGAAAGTCGTAGAGGTAGAGGAAAGTCTGCCTTGCGAGTCGCAAGGGCCACATGAGATGTCTTTTCAAGCAGGGACACTAATTGTAAGGAGCGATGGCCGTGGAAATTGTACTCATTTCATGAGTTTGTCTTGCTTCCTGTGTACGTGGCACACACTCACCACTAACAAAAGTAGTGCCCTTTTGCGTCACATCCTCTTGCTTCACACTTGCCTCACACGTTTGTGGTGACGTACTGAAGGCGTATGTCAGTTTTGCTTCCTGTTCTCCTCTTCTTTCTTCTTCCTCCTTCCTTTTTTCTACTACGTAAGCTTCTTTCTCTTGCCTTTTGGAGGCATGTTAGAAACTAAATTGAGCAAAAATTTGAAAAATTTGAAAATTGTTGTACACGTTACACGGTGGACGTTCATTGTAAAGACACGAGCGTGCGTCATTAGCACGCCTTTTATACACAAGGTGTGTGGGTGATGCACGTGCGGTGTGCTCTCAAATTTGTTCGTTAGTTGTGAGGGCGTTGTGAGCCTTACTCAACACGCAAAGGGCACTTGCTCCATTGCTTGAGACCTGAGTCTTGCACAACGTGCGTCTCTCTTGCTAACTCAGTGCGAGGGTAGCAAGTTACGCTTGCGGCCTCGCTGTTCGCAGGCTATTAGTAGAATTTTTTGGACATGTCCAACATCCTCCGTACGTGCTTACGGGCTGTCTGCAAACTCGAAATTGCGTAAGAAGGACTTGCGTTGGACGTGAGATTCTGCGCAAAATTTGGACGCAAACAGCCCGTAAGAGCCCGTACGGCCGGTTGTGTCCGAGGCTTTATTGAGGCACTTTGGCGTGCGTGCGCAAACGCGCTCGTCAGGAACTCCTAAATATTTAATCTTAATTGTAGCTTCTTCGGTATCAGTAGATATTTGAATATCGAAGGTGTTGAGCTCAATGCGCTAGTGTGTCAGGAACTACATGAATGTAGTAAATAGGTGATTTTATTTAGGCTTCTTCGGTAAAAAATGATAGATTTGAATTTCATACATTTAAGTGTGGTGCTCACGAAGTTAGTGCGTCAAATATTGCATCTTTAATACTGTCATTGTGTATAAAGTTAAGTTAGTGACTGATATGGAAAGAATTGAGCTAGCATTCTTGGAGACACGTCTAGTGTAGTACATGCTCTATATGGGAAGTAAACATCATTTATAGTTAGAGACTCTACGCGGGGCTTGAGTTCGTTCACTTTTATGTGTTAACCCGTGTATATGTAGATACCAAATCTTGGACGTTTTAGCATCAGTTGTAAACGATCGTGAAAGATTTAAATTACCTTAAGTTGAAAACTGATCGGAACTTAACCCGACACGGTGATGTTTCTAACGTAGAGAAAATAGTTTATGCAGAATTGAATTTTGACGTAATCCCTCGCGCAGTGATGTGAACTCGATTTTATGACGGTACATCCACGACTCTGCCATGACCAGTGTAACGAAACTGAGGGTCCGAGTAACAGAAGTTCCGCCCTCCATTTAGTTATTAGTCCGCTGGGAACCGTAGTCCGTTCCTCGTTACTTTGTACAGGTGACGTTCGTGCTATATACTAACCACACTACTCCGACTAAACCTAATCTGTACTAATAATATGGGACTCCCTTATGCCCCTTATCGAAAATCCCTTAGAATAGTACTATTCTATACAGCTGTGTCTACGTTCATGCTTCCAGAAAAAATACACAATCCACTTTTTTTTCTGCATAGTATTGCTGGATTTACCAAAACAATCGCAAGAATCAAGGAAGGCAAATAACGAATGCCCATGGCCAAAGACTGACAGGTGATTTAACGTAATGTATAACTTCATAAACCAAATGTGGGTTTTTGCATAGCATATTGCATGTGGGCCAAACACTAGGGTGGGTTTTTTCATCCATAAATCAAATTTATACGTTTTTTTTGACGCTGTATGTATTTTTTGATGCACACGTATAAAAAGTATAGTACATTTTTGGTCAAAGAGGATGTGTCACTTTTAGTCCTTATGAGTTTATGTTTACAAATAATCGCATATTAGCTGTTAAGCCTTTAAATTGTGTTTTTATCCATAACCACATTTACCTGTGTTACAACCCAAGACTGTTGTAGTTGATTGTGTTGGTTGATTGTGGTAGTTGATTGTGTAAGTTGGTACAACCGGATGAAAGCTTCCAATGTTGGTAAAAGGACAAAAAAACATTAAGAATACATTAAGAAAAAAAGAGAACTGAACTTTATCATAGTCGTATTGATATTACTGACATGTACATATAAAATGGGTGTGTACTGTTGCTGAAAACTGTTCACGAGATTGGAGATACCCTGGAAGTCGAGATTGGAGGGTTCAATTGAATGACGTTGACTATAAATTAAATTTAATAAAATGTTCATAGAAATTTTTATTCAACTTTTTTGTTAGAATATAACACCTGTAACATGACTTGCGGTAAAGTAAGGCCATTATACTGCTGAAAATATTGATATTTTATTTAGTGGGAGTAAAAACTGGCCGTACAATTTCAAAAAAGTTATTTTATCAGAACGTTGCAACAAATCACGCAGACGAGAACTGTGAGCAAGTGTGTTGTCATGATGCATCCTGTAGTCACCCCTGATGTCACCACTTGAAAATGGAGTGAGATTTCAATTAAATATGTCACGATCATTGGCTTCACAGACGCTGAAACCTTTTAATCGACACGGGCATTTTTGCTTGGGAATCGATAATTTTGTTTTCCTCTCGATAGCCAAATGAGTGTCCGTGGACATGTTGGAAAAGCCTCTTGGAAGAGTTTGTGTAGGGTCTGTCAAGGTTTTGGGAGCGTTCCATTACCATTGTTTTTAAGGTTATACATTCCGGAACACAGCCCTGTAATGGGTCCATTTACCATAACATTTTCAACACTGGAAAAGGTTGAGTGACATATTTGGAATTTTGATTGGAGGAGGAATTCTCCCTTTCAGTCGGCATCTTGTAAGTTGCTTCAGTATCTAGGCGCCGCTGAATAAAACAAATCACTTTCTTACTCAGGTAAACACACACACACACACACACACATACCGAAGAAAGAAATTAATCAAAACGCACAAGTTAGTTTGAAATGCTTCACACAATTCATCTCTCCCTCTCACAACACACCCTGCGCAAAAGACAAATATACACACACACACACACTGTATACCGAAGAAATTGATCAAAACGTACAATCATCTCTCTCTCTCTCTCTCTCTCTCTCTCTCTCAACACACACTGCACAAAAGTTAAAAAACACAAACAGTATTTCTAATGCTTCTAAAGTTTATTCACAATACCTGTGTTAAACACAGGACGTTAAGTCTATTGTACTACGAACAAAACGTTCAAAAGTTAAGAGGTCGTCATCGTAAAATCAAAATTCTTGCCAGCAACAAGAAACGTTTTAAACACGCCCGCGTTTTGTCAGGAATCACGTTCTACATCCGATTATCAAAAATCATCATTGGAACTTATGAGTCCTATGTATTGATGTTCTCTTCGCAGAACGAGATTATCGCCTTTTCTCGCTTTGCTGGGGGTCTGTTGTCATTATATCCACCAATTATCCAAAAGGTGGTCCAACGTAATCAAGGAGGATGTCGGCCTTGATAGCATCAGGGTTATCATACCGTTTGTCGGTAAAGAAGAGCTGAAAATAGATGAATTAAAGTTAAAAGACAGCACATACATGTACCTTTAAAGGTGAATATTGGTTGGTGAATTTGAAATTTGTTTTTTTTTTCTCATCAGACGTACGTACCGCAGTTGGCTACTTGCCAATTTACCACTCATCCTTCAACCCCCTCAACCAGTATACTGGGCGACTTTTCTGATTTTTTTTTCTTTTTTTTTTTTTTTGGGAACTGGAACTGGCATCGCTGTGGTCATATGAAGGAGGCACAAGCATCGATTTTGTAGCAGAATGAATGCTCAATGATCGGCCATTTGTCGGCACGTATAAAGTTTTTTTTTTACTCTCAAACGGGGCCGTACTACGGGACACAGAAAAGACGCCGTCTATTGTACAGGGGCTTCAATTGCGAGGGCAAAATACACTGGTAAAATACATTTTGAACAGCAAAACGCGAAAAAAAAACATGAGTCAACCATGGACCATACTGGTACGTATCATAATAAAAATTCCTCCTTGTGTACTGTTTTTATTTCTCTTGCATTACCCGAGAAAAAATGTATCTACCCCCCCCCCCCCCAAGAAAAACCATGGGTCTGCAATTGACTAGTATGTAGTAAATGTATATATTCACCAAACAAATATTGCCAGAATAGCTTCCGGGTAGAGCTGGATCATCGTCGAATGGCCACGGCACGTAACCCACGAATAGCGGCTGTGCTGGTAAACAGACGATAGACCATGGGTAATCGACTGAAATAATATGTTGAAACTGATAGATTACTGATAAATACGATGCTTAATTAGCAGCATACATGTACAGCTGAAAATAATGATGAAAATAATGAAAAATAACATGAACAGCATGCATAACTGAAAATGGCACATTTTGCCATTTAGGCCTAGGTTACATGTTATAATTTGATCACTGTTTGACATTTGCTCCACTGGAGTTACAATGGTCCTTTTCCACTTAACACTATTAATACATTATTAATTGATACTTATTGCTAACCCATTATCATAATTCTTTCATCAAGCCATTGAAATGGTGATCAATAATAGAGTTCCATTAGAAAGAGACGTTGGAGATTACAATTTAAGTTTGTCAGTTTAATGTAGGAGATAGATAATTGTTTAGTAGTTAAGTTATTGTCTGTTAGATTTAGTATATAAAAGTTAATGTAATTTCTTACTCTAAGAGCAACTTCATAATGTAATAACATGAAATGTCACATCTAAGATAAGACTCAATAATTAAACCATGCGTACCATTTGATACCGTAACAGAGTTCACGTACAAATTGCCGCCGGCGAATACGGCGAGAGTTAATGTCTTCCCGTCCCATATCACGATCACCAGTATATATCCGCCCCCGGGTGCCTGGAATAACACAAAATTCTTAGTACACAGTCTCCTCTTTTAATTAGCTATTCTATTGTTAATTACTTAAAATTTATTATTTATTTATATTTTAATTAATTGTTCAATCCATGTGTATTTATGTTTATTCAATAGTGTTCACATTGCACTTATGCGCTACCAAAGACAAAATGAATAGATAAACTAAACAGGGAGATGGTATAATGTACTGTTTAGAGGATATGGCCCGGACCTTTTAAGTCACGCCCAAGTCATAGAGATGCTGTCGACGAAATGTCTAATCTCTCTAACACTTAATGAATAATGTACAAAGAAGCACTACTTCGCAAATTAAACAATAAAAATTATGACGTACCAACAAACATATAAAATACAATTCATTAAGTGAGATATCTGAATGAACGCACGTGAACTGAGACTGTCAAGGTTTCTTCCCCGCCCAAGGGGTTCTGGACAACTACAGACGCCTTGACCCAATCATTATCATATATAAAGATGGTAATGCACTCGTAAAGAATAGTGGCATTCTGTGGCGGATCTCTGTTGAAGACAACAGCAGTTACCCAGCTTTTCCTAGGACGCATGTTCTTAAAGTATGGAATTTGAAGTCCGCCTTAAAAATAAGAGATCATTACAAACTGTAGTATTTAAATCGTATTGATAATTCATGCTAAGGCCTTATAACATAATAAACAAATTAAAATTAAATGCATTTTGAATAAATAAATAAATAAATAAATAAATAAATAAATAAATAAATAAATAGATTAATTAATGATTTGTAATTTATGATTGTGTTAATAAAATCCAATCTAGAAAGATTAAAAAAGAAGATATCCCATACCTGTTCCGTTAAACTCGGCGCATCCTGGTTCTATTACCGACAAACCTACTGTGCCCACTGGTTCATTGGCGGCGTAAAGTCTGTTTTTGTACGAGTTCAAGTTCACATCAAAATTCCACCGAGCTGGAAACTCAGCTAAAATAATAGTAGAAATAAATATATGAAATCATGGAGAAATGACCAAAATTAATTTTAATGAAATCTCACGTCAATCTTTATATACATTCAAATCACTTCTTCAGCTATTAATCATCCAAACAAATGACGCATAGTTTAATTCAAACTAAACAAGAGAGCGATTCAAAGCAATTTCTCCAACGCAACACAATAATATTTTTTTTCACAACAAATGGCCACCGAAGTGGGAATTCAACTGAAATAATAGCAGAAACATAATTTTATGAAAACACTGAGTGGTTGTCCTAAATAAATATATTGAAATCTCACATCAATCTTAATACAACCCTGAACCACTGCTTTTGTCATGAATTACCCGAGGAAGAGGTGGGGAAATGACGCACATTGCATTTTAAATTGAACAAGAAATCAAATCAAGGGCAATTTTCAGACTGCGGAAATAATGATAAGAACCATTCTAAAATATAAGGAAACTTGAATTCAGATGAAATTAAAACCACTCTTTGCCTTCCAAATTAAGTGACTTTCCTGAAATTTGCGTTACGCATAACTGGAAATGCCATGCTTATAATTCAATTCCGATATCAACAACCTACTTCGTTGTCAGAAGTAATAAGGTATTTGTGATTTTGAATCTCTGGTGTAAAAATACAATCGGTCACTGTTGTTGTTTCCTTAATACATCTTTTAAACGGAAAGCGGTAATCGAGTGCACTCGTTGAAAAACATATTCCAAAAAACTCACGTGCAGCCTCGCATTCACATTTTTTAAAATTAAAGATGAGATGTCCACAGCTGAATGTTTCATTCGCTCCCCAATACCAAACTTCGCTTATTTCTCCTACGATTTCTTGGAACACCATATTCTGAGGTTCAAGTCTACAAATTTCTGGAATAATTTTAACATAAGAAAATAAATCTTCATAAATAACGCTTTAGTTGGGCCGAAAGAGGGCAGAACTGTAGCAGTTCCCGCCCAGACGGCACCAAGGGTAGTAAAGATGTCGTATAATGATCAAACACTACCTTAATATTTTTGGTTGTATTAGTTTAATGCTTTACACGTAAGTCTTTGGTGCAGACCAGATCTGTAAACGTACCCATGAGAATAGCTTACTCCTCTGCTTGAAACATCAATCAGTTAAAAGAAAATTATTTGAATTTTAAAAAGAAATTTACAAAATTGCTAAATAAGTGCATGAGTACTGATAAATGTATGAGTTGGCTAAACGTTTCAGGGAAACAACATAAACTTACTGGGTCCAAGAGGTCGTGGTTTTTCCGTTGTAGTAGGGCCAGGCGTTGTGGCTTAAATATATAATATAATATAATATAATATAATATAATATAATATAATATAATATAATATAATATAATATTAAAAAAAGCATCCCGAGAGCACGAACCTCGAGGAAGGCAAAATGTAAATATTTTCATATTAAATGAAAGTTTGAAAAAATAATAATCGTTTTATCCTGTGCTACTCCCCAGTAAGCAGTCAATATGTATTTTGTATTTATATATATGTTATAAAACTAAAAGTAGAGTAGAGAGCATGTAAACAATAAAGATTATTATTATTATTATTATCATATATTTCAAAATTATTAAGAAACCCCGATAAAGCTAAATTGCCTAATCAATTTATTTTCTTTTAAATTATCTATACACATCTTAACTTTATCACAACTATATTATCTTTTTTTCCAAAATAAATAAATAAATAAATAAATAAATAAATAAATAAATAATAAAATAAAACAAAACAAAATAAGATTAATAAAAATATGTGCACGCCATGAAAGTCCCCCCTTTTTTGTAGGCGGTGCTAAAACAATACTAGCTACCAGTGAACAGCTTGGGAAGGATTTTTTTTCAACAAAAGCACAAAAGAAAAAAACCTGAAATTGGACACAGAGAAGCATCTGTGAGCCAAAAGTGAAAATGCATTGCATTCTTTCAGTGACCTATGCATATGGAATAAAAAGTACTTTAAAGTGTTACATACCATTTGGACACTGTTCTGACCCTTGTGGGTACTGTACATGACATTCAGGGTCCGGCTGCTGGGCGCAGTTGACACAAACCACGGGTTCCTCGCCTGGTTGTGGTGGGTGTGGTAAAACCCCGATCTTGGCCCACATCGTTCCGATGGGACACTTTTTGAGGGTGACATTCTTCAGTACGGTGTAGGCGAAGTCACACTGCCAGTAATATGCACAGTCAGAGTCTGAGACGTAGGCGACACCTTGTGACACTTCCGGTTTGTCAACCAGGCATCGTTTCTCAACTTCCTCTGGAATATAATTGTGTACTTCTCATGATGAAACATTGAGCTCCTTGACCATTTCATAATAATAATAATAATAATAATAATAATAATAATAATAATAATAATAATAATAATAAAGATAAATAAATACAAATAAAAAAATATAAAAAAATCAAAAGAGGATCAGCTTTCAAAGCAGTAACTGGTCAGGTTTGGCTCTATCATAATATTCACTGGATCTTTAAAACTTACCAATTGGTAAATGTGGATAAGCGTAAGTAGCGCCGAGCAGAGCTAGGCACACTAGTATGATCTTCATTGTGATCTGAAAACAAATAGATTTGTTTCAGTTAGACATGTTTTTATTTTCACTGAAAGTAAACAAACAAACAAACACAACTTCAATATCTTTCTCTTCCTAAAGTCAGTTACTTACAAAGTGGGCAGATTTCTCCAAAAGAGCACCTTATTTAAAGCAGTTAATCAATGGTTATCCACGAAAGTCTTATCGATTTTAATTTACCATGTTTAACCTGTTCTGAAAACTAAAAAACAAATATCTAAACATGCTCCCATTCATTAAGCTTATTAGAAATACTGTACTCACACTCAGAAGATTAAAAAAAAAAAAAAAAAACACCACCAAAGTGTTACCTTAAATTTACAACATTCATTATTTAAACAGCGTAATTAATTGTGTACTGAAGTTTGTTTTTATTGAAATCAGCTCACGTTAATATTTTCATTTCATTACTGGAGAGACAACATAGACATTAGCCTTATTCACCCTTCTCTTCCAACTCTCCATCCAACAATGTCTTAATAACATTTAAAAGGTAAGGATACGGCTCTGACGGATGCCTCAGTTTGCCTGGTCTAACTATTCCACCTTACCTTTCAGCTGTGAACCCGTCCACGGTCAGAAAGCAGTGTGACAGTCTAACGGGGCGTCTCACCTCTTTTATCCTCCTCTCCGACTTTTTCAAGTTAGACGAATGTTAATATTCACAATATTTATGCGCGTTATTCAATCGCTGATGATGTCTCTATGGCTGTCAAGAGACAAACAAGGGCGGTTGAAATCGATTTCAATTGTTAATTTCTCAAAAATTAATGCGTTTTTTGAAATAATGTGATAATAAATTTAAAAATATGGTACAAACAGGTGTCAGCAGTGTCATCCTTTGAAGTTTATGAAATTATATCTTGAACAATATGACCTTAAAGGGATAATAACTCTTTTGGCCAAAAATGAATTATCCTGGAGTAAACAACAATTTTCCCCAACTTGCTAATCGTTAATGAATCCATTTTTACATCAAAGTTAGTCCCTGTTTTTTTTCTTAAAGTTTGTTTTTCTATAATCTCTTAAGTGATTATAACAGAGTATAGCCATCAATGGAGGTCACATGATCTAAAGACAAGCTCAGCGCGATATCAGAATGATAGCTATAACTGCCGTTTTTCTTGTACAACAGAATTTATTATATTTCGATGAGTTGTTCACAATATTTTTATTGTGAAACATAGATCTCATACGAAGAGTTAATATCCCTTTAAATGAAATTGAGCGCATTACATGTTGTTATAAGGTTTTTCTTTACATAGAGAATATAAATATGTTTATTAGTGAAACGTTGACTTTACCCGCAATGATGTGAACATAAATTTCTGCAACGGTTTATCCGCCTTGCAGTGTACATTTAATGATATAATAGAAATGAAAACACCTACTTGTACTCCTACTTAATGTACTGCGACAGGCAGACTTCATAAACCAAATTTGATATTTTTCACTGCATATTGCATAAGGGCGAGACAACAGGATTTTTTTGCTTTATGGATGACTTTTATTATTATATAATTCAGTTTTTTTTGACATTATATGTATTTTTAGGCACATGAATTAAGCATTACCTCTTCAGTTGATTATTGTGTAAATCCACGATAACGCCCGACCAGTAAAAAATTAGATGGCAGTTTAAATTTGTATGGAACCTGTCTTGAAGTACACGCACACGCCCTTCCCTTCTTATACATGTATTAAGCACATTGCGTGCGTGTGTTCGTGTGTGTGTGCGTGTATGTGAGAGAGGGAGAGAGGTGGATGTGTGTGTTTGTGCGCAAAGACTTAGAGAGAGGAGAGAGAAAGAGTTGTGTGTGTGTGTGTGTGTGTGAAAGAGATACAGAGAAAGAGAGAGAGGTGCATGCATGCGGGCGCGCGTGTGTGTTTGTGAAAAAAAAAGAGAGAGAGAAAGAGGGTCGTGTGTGTTTCTGTGATTGCGTGTGTGTGTGTGTGTGTAAGAGAGAGAGAGAGAGAGAGAGAGAGAGAGAGAGAGAGATGAGGGGGGGGGGGAGAACATCCTAAACTGTGTCAAATATACACAATGCTATTCTTTGTTCACCATATACAATAACACACAGCATTACTGGTGGCACTATTTAACTTTAGCTACCCAGTTAGACAATTTCAGTTTGCATTTATTTAAAGTGCTTGACATAATTTACGCTAGGTCAATAATTGTCACATCCTTAATTTCGTTTATATTTTTATAATTTTGATTTTGAAATCATGAGATGAAAGCTGAAAACTGTAACATTTATTCCTAATCCGTATTTAACATGGCTTACAAAAATGAACCAGATCACAGATTTCCTTATTTCTATCATCTATTCAAATTTTGAATAGGCACGCCTAAGCTCAATGTTATGCACCACAGCAATTTCCATAAATGTAAAAATGTCAGTAAAAACTGAAAAGGCGCCACCCAATTCACCAAGTGTGCACCTGATAAATTTGCATCTGTCTCTTTCCAAGAAAGGTGCCATACATCGTGTTTACTGCCAATTACCGCAATTATGTTATGCAAGCGGCGCTGTATAAGTATAAAAACGGCCACGAATCTGCTTTGAGTTTAATCGTCCCGTTCTGCCTGAGAAGTTGACAGAGTCAGACCAGACCATTACCAGGGTTGATTCGTGCTCTGCGCCATGCGTCCCAACCCATGCCACAAGTGCTCAATAGGTTAGTATTTCGATTTTGAGAAACCTGATCGTTTCTGCATTTCTTTCAAATAATATTCATCAATTTTAATGACTCTATCTTTGGTGGTTACGGAATTTTTGAACCTGAGAAATCACGTTATCTGAATTGTTTGATTCATTTAAACGCTCTTAATTCTTTTCATAGAATCCAAAGCTTGCGCGAACAAATTCGTTTGTAGAGAACTGATACCCCAGGTCTACCTGTAAATGCACTCGTTGAGTGTTTTAAACTAGGTTTTTGATAAGGAAGGGTTTGTTACTAGTTTAGACATAATAGTAAAAACAGCAATTAACCGAAGGTAAACTCTTCAGACTGCTAACTAGCGCTTCCTCTTTTTACTGTAAGCATGGAATTTTGCACAATCATGAAAAATAGTATTCTGAGTACCTTAAGAAATAGGGGCATGTCTGAAAATTCCAACAGATGTTAAATGGTCACCTGCTTATAGGTTAGTTCTATTACATGTTCTTATGGTGATTTATATTGAAGGACAGAATGTCATAATGAAGAAATATGACTCCATATCAAAGTCTGTATTCACACATAATTACAAAATTGCTGCAATTCAATATTTCTTGGTAAGGACAAACGACACATGGAATTATAGGTGGCAGTGTACTCAGGTTTATCACACAGAGTGTGCAACTCTAACCATCTATTGTGCATCACTGAAAGAACGCGTGTTTCTACCGCTGCTCATAGTGGATTTTAATTGCCGTCTATATAAAAGAATTTGCGACAACCGCGGCGGCGAATCCATGGCTATTTGAAGAGTGGGGTCCGCGGATGCGAATCCGACCCCCCCCCTCCATTGTTGGTGTTGAAAAAAAAATGGTATTTTAGAGGTCGAAAGGTGCCATTTGGTACGGTTTGGAACTATAATTCAACTAGACAAAATTCTAATTTCAAGAGGGGACCATTGGTGTGTTTTTGTCCAGAAATTGAAAGGGGGGGGGGGAGGGGGAGGGGGGTCTAAATCCGCCATTGAACCGTTACTGTATTTTGTTCTGTATATTGTATATTGTACAATATACAATACAGTACTGTATATTGTTCTGTTCTGTTGCAGGAATGGATTGACGGAGATATAAAAAATGAACAGTGAACATATAGTATTCACAGGAGTTTATATGGCCACAACCATATATAACCTGATAATATAGGACGATATTTCCGCAAGCTGGACTTCATGGCATAAATAACAATGGGAAATTTTAACAGTAGACTTCATAGTATAGATAACATCGATGATAACTGATGTAAAACATTTGACTTCATGACGATTTACATCACTTCGACTAACAAACAGTTGCCAATGTGGTTAAAAAAAAAGAACAAAACATTAAGAATACATTAATAAGAAAAGAGAACTACACTTCTTCAAAGTCATATTAATATTAGTGACATGTAAGGTGGGTGTGTCCTGTTGCTGAAAACTGTTCACGAGGTTGAAGATACCCTGGAAGACGAGCTTGGAGGGTTGGACTGAATGACGTTGACTACGAATTAAATTTAGTAAAATGTTCGTAAAAAATTTTATTTATTTTTTTTTTAAGAATCTAACACCTGTAACATGACTTGCGGTAAAGTAAGACCAAAATGCTGAGGATATTCATATTTTATATACTGGGAGTGAAAGCTGGCGATACAGTTTCAAAGACATCACTGAATGGTATCAAATGTCTACACAATTAGCTAAGCTTGCGTTATTTGAAAGTCACATGTCTGTTAGCGTGTGCGTCTACAGCATTTAGCAGTTATCACTTGTAGGGTTTCAGGTCTGTTTTGTGGGGTATTGTCTAATTTTTCCAGAAGAACTGAACAGATTATTAGGAGGTGGATCCTTTTCTGCATCGCGCACTCCAAATCATCCTTCAAGTGTTCAATAGGGTTATAGTGTCAAGGTGAAAGATGGTTGTTCCATTATAAGAACATTGCGCTTTTGCAACAAATCAATCATAAACGGGAACTGGGAGCAAGTGCGTTGTCATGATGCAGCCTGTAGTCACCCCTGAAGTCACCACTTGAAAATGAAGTGAGCTTGCAGTTAAATATGTCACGATCATAGACCTCAGCGATGCTGAAACCTATTGACCATTGTTTTTTCTTTTAATTTTTCACTCCGTAAATACGTAGCTCTATAATGGGGCCATTTACCATAACATTTTCAACACTGGAAAAGTTGGATAAAATATTTTAAATTTTTATTGAACTAGAAATTATCCCTTTTAGTCGGCATCTTGACTTCGCAATTGGTTCAGTATTTAAGTGCCGCTGAATATACCAATTCATTTTCTCACACAGCCAAACAGACGCACACTCATTGTTTACTGAACAAAGAAATTAATCAAAACGCACAAGCTAGTTTGAAACACACAATTCATCTCTCTCTCTCTCAACACACACTGCATAAAAGTCAAAACACAAACAATATTTCAATTGCTTCTAAAGTTTATTCTCAATATCTGTGATTAACACAGGACGTTAAGTCTATTGTACTACGAACATTACGTTCAAAAGTTAAGAGGTCGTCATTGTAAAATCAAGATCTTTCCAGCAACAAGAAACGTTTCAAACACGCCCTCGTTTTGTCAGGAATCACGTTCTACATCCGATTATCAAAAATCATCATTGGAACTTATGAGTCCTATTATTAGATGTTGTCTTAGCAGAACAAGGTTATCGCCGTTTCTTGCTTTGCTGGGGGTCTGTTGACATTATTGATATCCACCAGTTATTAAACAGGTGGTCCAACGTAATCAAGGAGGACGTCGGCCTTGGCAGCATCAGCGTTATCATACAATTTGTCGGTAAAGTAGAGCTGAAAATAGATGAATAAAAGTTAAAAAGAACACATATATGTGCCTTTAATAGTCCCTTAACTTTGGATTTCTTTTCTCAGCAGACATACCGTATTTGGCGACGTGCCAATTAATCGCTCCTCTTTAAACACCCTTTACACTGGACGGCGTCTTTTCTGCGTCCTTTGTGCGACCATGAAAGTAGCATCGCTGTGATCGTAGAAAGGAGGCATAAGCATCGTTTTGGTTGCAGATTGAATGCTCAATGATTGGCCAGTTGTCGGCACTTTAAGTCGTTTTTTACTCTCAAACAGGGCCGTACTACGGGTC